GATAGAGCAAGAGTTGTTGTCATCAAAATAATCTCTTAGAATCAAAGATCAATAAGCGTCAAGCTAGTGACGTTAAAAGAGCGCTTTGTGAGAGGCAACTCACACTTCTTTCCCTTTAGCTTTTGTTACTTTCTGGTTTTTTATTTCATTTTTTACATGATTTGAATTTCATGTTGAAGGTAATAATTTTTTTTTGGGAGTAAAAGTGTCAACCTATAGAGGAGTGTTCTGAGTTAGAGTGCTGGAACATCCATTTTCCTCAGCATAACCACATAGATACTTTAGGATCATTTCTCTGTTCCTTTCTAAATTTCTGACCTTTAAATTTTGATAGAATTTAGATTAATTTTTAATTTTGGTTACTTTTGAATTTTAAAATTCTGCATGCTTCTAAATTTTTAGTATGACAGAGTGGTTAATTCTTAAGTTTTCATAGAAGTAAATGTATATAATTTGGGTTTTGATTTTGCAGGTGTTAATTCAAACAGAGAAGAATGAGACAAAGTGATATGATTGTGTTTAAAAGGATGTTCATTAATTGAGTAATCACTTTGAGGAAGAAGAATTGAGGTGTAGGGGTTGTTTTCTGAAGTTTGATCATTAAAGTGAACACTTTAAGTGCGTAAAGTGTCCACGCGAAACTGCGCGCTACTACTCTCGCCACTTGAAGTGAACACGCGCAACTTTACGCTGACACTCTAATCACTAAGAGTGTCCACGTGCAAGGGTACCTTAGAAAAATTGAAGAAGAGGCTCCTGCGTGGCTACCTTAGGCATTTGAAGTAGCTACGCGCATGTTTGTGCAACTACTCTACCCGTTTGAAGTAGCTACGCGCATCTAAACGAAGCAAGGGCGCAGCTACTCTACTATATTTCGTTTACATGACTCTAGCGTGTTCACTTTCCCCATTGAAAGTTTTTACCTAGTCTGCGTAGCTACTTAAAGTGCTAAGAGTGATAACACAGAAGCACAAAACCCTAAGCTCTCAAAACCCTAGCCCTAAAATTTGATTTTCTTACTTATCATTGGGTACATTTGTGTTGATTATCTACAGTACCATCACTTACAAGTAGGATTACATCATTATTGCCCTCCAATTCCAGCTGAGAGATGCAAGCTCACCTAGAGAAAAGCTTAGATCAAGGAGGCGTAGATTTGTAGACCATACTCTTATAACTCAAAACTGAAGCAAATTGGATTTTGACACTTGCACAACTGCCATGAAAGGGGGTGAATTTTGTACTTCTTATTTCATGAGTTTAGCTTCCCTATCACTGAAAATACTCCCAGAAAAACACAAAAATATTAGATTAGATCATGAACTGACTTCTATGAATGCACTGTATTTGATTGCATTTCTGTGAATTCTAATTTTCTTCTATTTTCATAAGTTGTTTTTCCCATTCTCACATGATTATCACACTTGTAATTTTCAAAAGGAGGTAATCTTGCCATTTTGTGCACATAATTCTGAAAAAAGTGGATTATGAGCTTAATTGATTGACATTATCACTTCAAATTCCTTGGTGAGACTTGAGCCTCATGCATGACATTTCTTGATGTGTGAAATGGATCTTATATTTTGCTGCACCTCTAGAACTTGCATTGTTCTTGATTGAATTTATAATATGTCAAAGTCACATATATGATGGAGGCCTTCTTTGCGTATGCTTAGAACCTAAGTAAACCTCCCTTATACTGAAAATCCTAGTTCACCCTTTAACTTGGCCTTTGGTAAACTTCAATTCAAGCCCTACTGAAAAACCATGACACCTGTCCAAATAAGAAAGAGGCAATTTAAGTTTAACCAAAGATGATTTTCAGAATTAAGTTTGGGGTGGCATTTGTGATATTGTATAACATTGCTTGAGGACAAGCAAAGTTTTAAGTTTGGGGTAGGTAACAGCAAAGTATGAGTTGTTTGAAAAGAAAAGTAATAGCAAAAATAAAATCTGAGTCATTTGAGAAGAACGATTGAATGATTGAATGAAGAATTAAAGTATTGGAAAGAAGAAATAGGAAATGAAAAACAAAAAAGAAATTCATGCATAAATGCATAAACTGATATATGAACAGCACTTGAAATATTTCAAAAAAAAAAATTCAGAAAATGTTGTGCAAAAATTGAATGGAAGAAAAGAGTGATAGCATGCATTATTTGTGCACATTTTCAATCCTTTAGAGTGTGTAAATTACCTTTCATGTTCCCTTATTTCACAAATTATAGCATTTCCTAGTTAATTGGATGATAGGAACTCAATTTCAATTAATGTCTAAATTCTATTTTTAGACCTACACTCACTGTTTTGATTGTAACTTTTTTCATAGATGTCTGTTCGGTTGATTCTAGTTGCATTGGATTCCTCATTTTCTGGGCTATAAAATTCATATGCAGATCGTCCAAATTGGAGCTTTTTTGTATTTTCTATGAATTTTTTAAGTTAGGAAAATTGTGCAGGAATTTTTGTATTCGAATTTTGTTCTTGTAATTTCATTTCATTTGTATTAACATTTCATTAGCTTGTAATTTGGGCTGTTTAATTACACTTGTGGGCCCTTCCTTTTAGTGTTGGATCTGATCATAAGTGGTGCCTATTAATATGTTAGAGGCTCCATTTTGAAAACATTTTTTTGTTTTTGTTTTTTTACACATTTTTTTAAATTTGGTTTTGGCTCCTAAAATTCTCTCTCGAATTCTCTCTCTTCTCTTGGTGTGACTTTTCATTTTCTTCTTTCTTCTTCTCTCTTCTTGACTTGGCTGAGCATTGGATTCAATGGAAGGCTAGGCTTCTTGGATTGATACACAAGGAATAGGGAATTGCAAGGAAGATTCAGAGTGGCTCCAAGTTTGAATTCTCTTTTCTCCTCTTCTCTTTCGTTTTTCAAGATATTGATAATGTTTGGGGATAGGAATTGAATTGAATTGCGATTGAAGTTTGATTCATGAAATTGAATTAGATTGATAGATCTATTAGTCAAATTCATAATCTAGTTTGTTAGCAAATTCGATTGAATTAGTTAATGGATTAGATGTTCAAACTAGGGAAACAATGAAGGATGTTGTTTGCATGAACCTATGACTTGTGGATCAATTAATTCTCATTTGATTTCTCTTTTATTCCAGAATTTTATGCGTTTGATCAGATTATTCTTAAACTTTCAAAATTCCCCAATCTTTTGTTTCATTTTAACAATTTGGCAAAGAAGAATTAGATACAAACGTGTCCTCGAGATTTCGACCTTGGTTGACATTATTCTACACATAATTGCGAAAACCTTGTGTGTTTGATAAGTGTTCGATAAAGCTATATCAAAGAGAATGCAATCTCATGCTAAATTCTGAATATCATCTACTTGAATTGCATCTTTTCTGTTTGGCATAACCTGCATTGTTTCCCAAATGGATTGAACACTTACCTATCCTTTAACCTCAATTTCACTTGAAAAGTTCTCTTGATATGTGATTGGTTACATTTTTTTTAGAGGAGATTGAGAATATATGCAAGCCTATGGTAGAGTGTAGTAAAAATGATGATTTTGAGAGCAAATACTGAGCCTAAACACGAATTGAGTGATGAGGGAAACACTACTTGTGAGCTGTGAACATATTTTTCAATTTTGCTCATATGAAACTTTGCTGAATTACATGAATTCAGATGGCATATTTTTGTTGATTGAGTGGTTAAAACAGTGTAATGATCATGTTGATCAATGGATGAATAACTTGATTTGGATGAGAAATCAGAAAGATACAGAATTGGGAATTAGAAGTGTTGAAAAATCAGTTTGATGATTGAATTCTTGTCAATTGGATTATTCTCTTTCCCTTTTGTTTGATTTGATTTGCTTGAGGACAAGCAAAATTCTAAGTTTGGGGTGGTGATAAATCCATATTTTACCATGTTTTTAGCATAGTTTTTGGTTAATAATTAGGAAAATAGTTCTAAAATAAACTTGAAAAGATCAACAAAAAAAAATAATTAGTATAAATTGTTGTTTTGTTGAAATATTAAAAATTGTTTAGATTTTTGTAGGAGTTCATGCAAAAAGATAGAAAGTTGTTGAAAGTGCTTAAAGGAAGGATTAGCAACTGAAATTGAAGAAGAATAGTCAAAGAATCAAGCTTGAAGAAATCCTAAAAGTTGGGCGTTACAACTCCAAGTGATTGGTGTTTGAACGTGGAAAGAACAAAATACAGCATTGGGTCTGCGTGGCCACTCTAAGTGATGTGCGTTAACACTCCAGCAACTGAAATTGGATAACTGCCATTGCGTTGAAACGCACATCACTTGGTGCTTTGGCGCGCAATAGAGCATGCAAACGCATAGCAGATGGCGTAGCAGAGCTAAGCACATAGAAGAAGTATTCATTGAAGTGCTGTGTGTTGAAACGCACATCATTTGAAGCTTTGGCGCGCAAGAGCACGTTGCAACTCATAGCATATGCAGCCAAGGCGTGCATCTGCTTGCCTTTACTCCAGCCACTGCGCGTTTTGGCGCACAATTTTGCAATTTTCATAACTTCTTCTTCCTTCCAATTCTGGATGTTTGGAGCTTTTGTATCACTTTTAGAAGATTCCAGAACACCTGGGGACAACTAACTATCAAAATTTCAAGGGTTAAGTCGAAGAATTAAAGGAACTCTATAAATAGGAATTAGGAACTTAGAAAAGGGAGTCTTTTGCCATTTTTTTTTTCTTTTCATTTTCACACCTTAGGAGAGTTAGAGAGGGAGATTGGGGGCGACTTCCAAGCTCTGGACCTTGAGGAATCAGGCTGGGGATTGGATTTATGAAGAAATTCTGCAACTCTTCTTCTTCTACTCTTTCTCTCTCTTTTTCTTTTAGGAGCATGTTCTGATTTCTTTTTTGTTAGGGATCCATGGATCCAAATTTGATATTGTGATGTAATTTTGGATGTGGACCTTGAGGTTTTAATTGAATTGAGTATGTGATTCTGTTCTTAATGCAGTTGTGAACTAATCCTTCATTCACTCTCAGTTTAAGAAAGAAAAACCAATGAAGATTAAGGATACACTAACATTGTTGGCAGAAATGCAAAATTCACTGGCTGAGAGGCAGACTGAGCTCCACAGTAGTGTCAAAACTGGAATCATGTTGCTGGAGTGTGTCATGCTAAACATTGGTCAAAAGATGGGAATGACCACACACCAGACTTGGCAGAGAAGGCTCAGTGCCTTTGCTCCTCAATTTTCAAAGATATGCCAATCTATAAGACTCACTTCCCACAGCCAACTAAAGTGGAGGAAGAGGTAGAAGAAGAAGAAGACGAGGATGAAGATTCAGAAGAAGACACCTCAGATGAGGAGGAAGCAGAAGAATAGTTTAGGACTTTAAATTTCTGTCATTTAGAATTATTGTAGACAATTATAATTAAGTTTTAGACTTTTGACTTTGTAATTATGTTTTAGTTTAATTTTAGTTATAAACATTTCTGCTTTAAATATCTACTAGTTTTTGAAATTAATTGCCTTTTACTTGATAATTGATAAAATTTTGGTGTTTTGTGCAGAATTTGTCACTATCACACAACTCTCAAACACATGGATTTTGACACCTGCACAAGCTGCCATGAAAGGGGGGGTTAATTCTTTACCTCTTGTTCATGAGTTTAGCTTCACATACACTTAAAAATTTTCAGAAAAACACAAAAATATTAGGATAGATATTAAACTATATTTTGTGAATTAATTGCTTTCTAATTGACAATTCTATAAATTCTGAATGAATTTTTCTTTTTAAGTTATTTTTCCCATTCTCACATGAGATCACACTTGTAATTTTCAAAATGGAGTAGTCTTGCCACTTTGTACATATAGTTCTAGAAAAGTGAATTATGAGTTTAATTGATTAACATGTTCACTTAAAAATCCTTGGTGAGACTTGAACTTCATGCATTTCTTGTTGTGTGCTAATTGATCTCATATTTTGCTGCACCTCTAGAACTTGCATTGTTTCTTGATTGAATTTGTAAAATGTACAGTTCACTTATATGATGGAGGCATTCTTTGTTCATGCTTAGAGCCTAAATAAACCTCCCTTGTGCTGACAATCCTCATTCAACCTTTTGAGGACAAGCTAAAATTCAAGTTTGGGGTGGTGATGAATCCATATTTTTACTAGTATTTTACTATAGTTTTAATCCATTTGATAAAGAAAATATGTTGGAAAAAGCAGAAAAACTCTTGAAAATAGAATGATTAAAGCTTTTCTTTAAATACATAGTTATTTTAGAATTTAGGAATTTTCTGTGTAGAAATTAATAATTCAATCATGTTTCTGTAGGAAAATCTGAGCAAAGTTCATGCAGATGGAAGATCAATAGAAGGATAGAAGAAAAGTAGCAAAATTGGACTCAAGGAACAAGGTTAATGGAGTTTAAGCTGGGCGTGATCACTATCGTTTGTGAAAGTGTTTGATCCAGAGCTTAAAAGTGAAGTGGAATCTGTGCGTAATCACTTTTATCCACAAGAGTAAGCGTTCCAAAGAGTTTCTTAGTAGAACACAGATGCGCATTGTGACTTTCACTAGTAAAAGTGAACATTCCAGGGGGACTTCAATCACAACAGAATTGCGCGTTCCCACTTCCACTGATGAAAGTGATTGTTCCATAGAGACCTTCAGCATTACAACTTGCGCGTGGCTACTTTCGTTCATGAAAGTGACCACGCATAACTCGACTTCCAGCGTTGCCACTTTTATGAAGGAAAGTAATCATTCCAGTCTTACATAACACCAGATAAGCCTCTGCGTGGCTACTCTTATGAAGAAAAGTGGTAACGCGCAGATGGCGGGAAACTTATAAATTGTAGAAAAGCTCAGATCTTTGGATCCTTTATTCATTTTTCGTTTCCATTTAGTTTCTTATTGTGTAGAGAGTCTAAGAGAGCGATTGGGGACGAACACCGAGCTTCAACCTAGAGGAATTAGATTGAAGATCGGTTGAAGATGACTCTTCTGTGTTCATTCTTCTCTTTTCTTTCTTTCTTTTTTTCTGTTGTAATGGTTGCTTGAATTCTTCATAGTTAGGGATTGTGAATCCAAAATGAATGTGTTGAATCGATTATGGATTTGAATTTTGAGTATTTGAATGAATTGAGTGATTGATTCTGTAGATTCATGTAGTGATTGAATAGAAATTTGATTAACTAATTATAGAGGAACTCTTGTCAATGAAAATTGAATTTGTTCTTTAAATCTGAATCAATTACCAGGAATATAGATTTCTTAGGGATAAGATAACTTGATTCTGCAATCTTCTGGTTTCTAACACCTAATGCAAATTTAGTTATACCAGATCTAAGGAATTAGAGTGATTTGATTGAATGTTAGGTTCATTGAGTTAAGGAATTAACCTTTGAATAATATAACGTGAAACTGATTGTCATTTCTTTTAATTACTTGAAGGTTCAGAACCTTATTGATTCAACATTGAAGTTTTGGTGAAACAATTCCCTGGCTATGTCTTCCACATCTGTTAATCACACATTTGCATGTTCAGTGTTTTGTTTCCTTTCTGAATTTAATATTTGTTACTTTAATTCCAAATTCCATCTGAAATTCGTGAAGCTCAACTAATTTTAGCCTTGTGAAGTGATAATTGAGCACTTTTATTCCTTGAGGACGATACTTAGAACTCTAACACAGTTCTATCATTTTTATAACTTGCTACATCATCACTAGTACACTTGCTAGTCAAATTAACTTCTCTTCTGAAGTGTGACACCAGTGGGCCATATACTGTGAATGAGTGTGGGCACTTGTGTCATGTGTGCGAATGAATATGGGCCAATGTGCCGTGAAACGTTAATGACTATGGATATTGTGCCGTGAATGAATAATATGTGTGGTTGAAATGTGTGTGTGAATGAGGCATAATGAATGCCATTGTAATGATGCTGTGAATGGTTCAGTGATACACTGGAGGTGTGGAAGATGAGGATGGTAGAAATACCTTAGGGAAGAGAGAGTGGTGGTGACACCAACAGTGAACGTGGCAGAGGGAACAAATCTTTTTCACCATAGAAACTGAGATAGAGGGAACAAATCTGATCCTCTCCTGGTAGTTACCAAACTCTACCCCTGCATTCTCACAAAGCAAAGTTATTAATGAAGGAAAGACTAGTGAATCTCTCTTTGTTTTCAAAATGTTTAAGATACATTCACTAATCACTTCTCCCACATCAATGTACATGTCATTGACAATTGCAAAAAGAAGTTCTGCCCTTTTTATTGCCAATGTTGAACTATGCTTGACTGGCACGAAAGAATTCAAGATGAAGGTGCTCCAAACTTTGGCAAATGGCAGCAGATTTTTGGTTGTGATGCACTTGGGCTTCTTGGCCTGGTTCAGCTGCCAAGTTGTTCCTGGTCTTCCAATCCTCTGCAGAATTTCTACATAGTCCTTGTCAGGACTATTTTTGAAAACACTGAACTCCAGCTGTCCAGGTTGCTTCTCAGTATTGATGTTCAGTACCCTGTTGATGTTTGCAGCAGTCAAGTCCACTCTCATCCCCTTAACCATTGTGTGAAATTTAGGGATTTGATTTCCCTTGAATCTCATGGTATTGGCATAGAACTCCTGTGTCATTTCTCTCCAACCCATTTCAGCCAATGAGCAAAAGGAGTCCCACTCCCTTTTCTGGATCTATTCTTTGTACTCAGGGTAATTATCTCTAGCAATTTGGAATGCCCTGTTTGGGACAATCTTTCTTCTTAGTATATTGGCTCTGAAAAAGTTTTCATGGGCCAAACTCCTAAATCTGGGGTCATGCATTTCTATAGGCCTTGAAGTTGAAGCTCCATCCATTCTACCCCTCTTTGCTCTTGGAGTGCCCCTGGAATATCCGACTGAAGTATTGTTGGAAGTTCTTGCCATTTTCAGTTTGTTGCTATGAAGAATCAATTTGACAAGTTAAAATTGCAATACACAGATACAAAAGTACAGATTGCTACTATAAAGAAAAATTGATTTTAAACAAATTAAATTGCAGTCTGCTGTCAGGATATGTCAATTATTCATACACAGATGCAAAATTACATTTGCACCGTGTTGTTCGCAATCTAACACTAGCAAGTGAACTAGAATTGCAGCAAGTAATGAGTAAAATTAAGATCAGAATATCGTCTCCACAGGGAATTTAGGTTTCAAGTACCACTTCACAGAATTATAACCATTTGAGCCATACGAATTTGGAAGGAGAGTTGTAACATGAAATAGCAGCAAACCAGAGCAATTAAAAGTAAAGAACTTGCAAAAAAATAGAGTTTAAGATTTGTGATGAAATGAGATAGGAATGAAGAATAGTTAGGAATTTACTTCACAAGAATGTCAATATTAATTCAATTATGCCTCTGAACATTTAAGAACTTGGTTAATTGACAATCAGTTTTGCATATTAATAGCCAAAGGTTAATCCCTTAACTCATTGACCCTAACAAGCAACTAAACCACCCTAATCCCTTAGGTGAAGTTCAATTTCATGTTGCATTAAGAATTAGAACATTAGGATTGCAGAATTAAGTGTACTTATCCCTAAGAAACCCCTAATTCTGGTTGTTAATTCAGATCAGAGAATCAAGTCCAATTCCCATTGGCAAATGTTCCTCTAAGATTAATCAAATGAATTCCCATTCAAAGATTATGTAAAGTGCAGAATTAACAACTCAATTAATCCAAATACTCAAATTTTAGAAGCAAGAATCAAATCAATACATCAATTTGAGTTCCATAAACTCCTAACTACAAGAAATTACACAGACATTATGGCAGAGAAAGAGAAAGAAGGAGAAGAAGAAAAAGAACTCAGAAAAGCCATAATCGAAAGCTCTAATCCGATTCCTCTTTGTGGAAGCTTCAATACTTGACCTCAATCTTCTCTCTCAATCTCTCTCAACGACAATCTAACAGAAAAAACAGAAATTGAATGAAAGACCCCGAGATCTGAGCTCAAAACATATATTTATAGAAATCCCGATTCTTGGCGTTATCACTCTTGCTGATTCTTGCTCAAAACAGAAATTGAATGAATGAAGGCCACGCAGAAGGTCGCGACATTGTGCGTGATCACTTTTATGAGTAAAAGTGGTCACGCACAACTTGCCAAGTTGAGGACTCTCTGAAACATCCACTTTCAATGATAAAAGTGGTTACGCAGAATACTCTGAAACTTTGCCTTTTCTGGAACGTTCACTTTCGCCAGCAAGAGTGAGCACGCAGAGTATACTGAAATTTTGCCTTCTCTAGAACACTCACTTTTGCTGATAAAAGTGGTTACGCCAAGCCTGCTGGGTCTGAAGCTTCTCTGGAATTTTCACTTTTGTT